ACAATGCCCAAATCAAAGGTATTCAAGGCCCAGTTGCCAGTTCAATTGAAGTAGCAGCCCTTTTCTCTGTGTCTGCTTTTCTTGATGGTTTCTTCTTGGCCTGTCTTCTCCTCCAGGTATTTCACTGCCCATCCCAGTCATCGGCTTGCAAGATGATTCTCGGCTTTTTGTGAATGGAAGCTGTGTCCTGAACGATGAAAACTTTGTCCTCATCGGCTCCTTTGTGGCTTTCTTCATCCCCCTGATGATCATGGTGGTTGCCTACTGCCTGACCATCCAGGTCCTGCAGAAGCAGGCGTCTCTCTTCCTCTACGGGGAGCCCCTCAAGCCGAGGAGGAGCAGCATGAGCTGCCTGAAGAAGGACCCCAACGTGGAGAACCTTTCCATGCTGCAGAACCACGAGGCAGCTTCCCACTTAAACTCTCCAGTCAACAAAGAAGGAGTTCTCTTCCGGAAAGGCACCATGCAGTCCATCAACAACGAACGCAGGGCCTCCAAGGTCTTGGGGATTGTCTTCTTTTTGTTCCTGATCATGTGGTGCCCATTTTTTATCACCAACATCATGTCCGTTCTCTGCAAGGACGCCTGCGACAAGGCTGTCCTCCGTGAGCTTCTGGATGTGTTTGTTTGGGTGGGCTACATCTGCTCAGGGGTCAACCCCCTCGTCTACACACTCTTCAACAAGATCTACCGCAGGGCTTTCTCTAACTATATCCGGTGCCGCTACGAGAGCGGCAAAAGGGCCTCCCAGCTGCACAACCAGTGCCCCAACGTCTCCTCCACAGCCTTCTACGGGAAGGATCTCAACTTGAACAGTTACCGCCACGAACTCAACAGCACGGAGCTGGAGGAGGAGGAAGAGGAGGAGGAGGCTTTGGCCATGCATGTAGGGACCCCAGAGATCTCAGTAAACAGCTGCAGTGGGGAAAAAACAAGCAGTGTGTAAACTTACACACTTCTGCTCCTGTCTGAATTTCACAGCTACGAACAATGTTCCTGTTAGTCAAAGAACAATGTAAATAAGGCATTACGAACAAAACCTTTTTTTCCATTTCAGCTTTCATACTTGTAGCTCCTTGTTTTGCACCATACTTAAAATCAGAACATCTTGGTTGTGGGGAACGGAGCAGGTGGGTCTCCCGTGGGAGCAGCTGCTTGTTTTGCTTATGGAAATGTTATTTTCATTCTGGTGCATGAACAAAACACCCTTAATCTCAGGTGGGTTTTCTTTTTTATCTTTCTTTTTGTTGGGTCTCAGTGGTCAGTTATGAGTAAGTTACATATCAAATAAAGGGATTTGGGCTTGGAGACATCAACGTTTCTTATTGGGATACCCAAAGAAAACCCTGGATGAACCTCTTCCATCTTCTTGGCTATGTAAGTCTTGCTCTTGGTTATGGAGGGTAGTGAAAGTGCCCCCTCCCGTTTGCCACAGCTGGACTGGTGATAGTTGGAAGGTGTTAGAGAGTAATATTGTATCACTGCTGGAGAAACTGCTATGCTACTTGTGGGCTCTGGGCCTGTCAAGCTGGCCCCCTGAGCATTCTCAGTGGGGGAAATCTCTGCTGCCAGGAATCAGCCAGAGCGTGAAGCCCTCCTTCCCCAAGGATGCTGGAGAAGGGGGCCTTCAAAGCCCTCCCTCGGCTTTCTGACAGCAGAGAGGGGACGAAGAATGTTAATTGCAGAAGTCTTCTTCCGAGCTCTACATGGCTCTTCTCCTCCCCTTTGGTTTCCTGGACTGGGGAGGCCTCCCTCCACCATGGCATGACATGATAGCAGTATTCCAGTGTTTTGAGGGGCTGCCACAAAGAAGAGGGGCTCAACTTATTTTCCAAAACACCAGAAGGCAAGACGATGGATGGATGGATGGATGGAAACTAATCAAGGAGAGAAGCAACCTGGAATTAAGGAGAAACTTCCTAACGGTGAGGACAATTAACCAGGGGAGGAGCTTGTCTTCAGACGTTGTGGATGCTCCATCATTGGAAGCTTTAAGAAGAGACTGGACAGCCACTTGTCTGGAATGGTATAGGGTCTCCTGTTTGAGCAGGGGGTTGGACTAGAAGACCTCCAAGGTCCCTTCCAGCTCTATTCTGATTGATTTATTTCTGCAGCTCCAAACATTCAGCCCTTGATGAAATTAGGCAGGGACAAAGAAATGGGCACCTTTTGTTTTCTTGCCCAGGAAAGTGATGGGCTAAGCATGTTCAGCAAAGACAACTGGGTAGGAATCTCCTTAACCATTAAAAGCAGATTTCAGGTATGAAATTGCTCCTTGTTGAGCTGTGGTTCCTCCTACTAGCATTTTTTTCCCACAAGGTTGTCATTGTGAAAAAAATGGGAACGACAGGGAGGGAGGGGAGGAACCGCAGGGGTGAAACCTAGGGAGGCCAAATCTATCTCTAATGAACTCTTAAAGCTGGATTGGATCAGTTGGAAACACAGCACTGATTCACCCCTAAAACGGTGAAGAAGCCGTGCCGGACAACCCTCCCCCCCCAGCCGTTGTGTCGCCCACATGCAGGCAAATGTGGACCCAAAAGCTACAGAACACACAACGCCAGGGGAGAATTACGAAAGACTTTTCATTTTATACACAGAATATGTACATTAGGTTTATCCATGCAGATTTCAATAGAAAACTCTGTACAAAAGAAAACAAAACAGGACTGTTCCAGGAAACACGGACGTCGGAAGCTCCAGCAAGAAGAAATCCAGAAAGCGTCAGAGAGCTGTGTAACGTGGCACCAGCAAGAACAGGAAAGGAGCATGAATTCCAAATGGCAACAGACACAGACACAAAAGAAGAGTTCCTGGCTACTTCCAAACTGATTTGCATTTAGGCATATAAAAAGAGCAACTGTGTGAATTTGGCTAGGATTAGGAATTAAAGAAAGGAGATACAAAAGGAATGGTTAACAATTAAGAAGTAGTTTAAAAAAAAAGAAAAGAAGACCCTGACAAACACAAAACTCACCACCCGGACCCTTTTGGTCCATGGAGGGTCCACAGATCATTCCACAGTTTGCACATCTCTGCTTAACCCCGACTGCCCATCTGAGCATCAACCCGGCTTGGCTGGCAGGCGTCTCCCTTCACCTTTTGGCGCTCCGGCTGGGCTCGTGTTGCTGCCGGCATGCCGGAGAAATGAAGGACCGGGGCTCGAGAGCTGATTATTTATTTATTGCATTTATTCATTACTTATATGACTTAAAAACTCCTGGACATCCTAGGTACTCTCTGCACAAGAATTATACGGAGGCCAGATAGTGAGAAGAGAAACATTATAAAGGGACGGGGCAGAAAAATTAGATTCATATAAAAACAAAATAAAGGGGATTAATACACGGCACACACACACACACACACACAGACTTTGCTTTATTTACCCATGTCTGGGGGAGTGGGGGGGAACTAAGAATTTCATTTACCTCTATTTTTCCATACGTTTGTTCTTAAGATAGGATGCCTCCCTTTTTATTTCAAAGGAATTAAAAATCCTAGCTCCTACAACCTTAAAAGCATCTAAATCAGCAAATGACAAAACCAATAAATAGCTGAAGACCAAATTTTCCCAGTAAGGTACCCTGAAACCATGCCTGTCCTGGTTGAAGGTTAGGGCAACGGAACGCCAATATATACAGAGAACAATCAACTGGAGGAGGCTGATCTAAATATAAACAAATCATTTCATGCATTTTAATTTAACATGAGCTCACAATTGCATTTTAATGCAGAACAAATGGAGGAAGGAGACTTCAAGAATTCAAAAAGTCTGGCCCTTCAAGGACATTTCGCAAAGTCAAGAAGACTTACATAAACACTTCTGGCTTGACACACAGACACCCCACTCCAGAACAGGCAGGAAGGACTCGACCTGATGCCCAGTTAGGGCCACTTCCCACAGGCCGTGGTTGCAGACCCCATCCCATGGCATGGCATACCTTAGAACAGGGGTCTCTGACCTTAGCAACTTGAAGACTTGGGGACTTCAACTCCCAGAATTCCCCAGCCAGCATGGGAGTTAAAAGTTGCCAAGGTCGGAGATCCCTGCCTTAGAAGGCAGAAGAGAAGTTTCTATGGGCCTCCCAACCACGCTTTCCGAAGCTCTCTGAAGAATCGCATCTCCAGAGGTGGAAGCTCTGAAGGTGGAGAGATGAGAAGAAGTCCCCTTTTACCCAAAGCCCTCTGCCTCCTTTTTAGGCAGAAGACAGCAAACAGCCTTGCCTGAGCTGAGTGCTGATGAGGCTTTGCTCTCCTACAGGGACCAACTACAGGAAAAGAATTTCTAGGCTGAAAGCAAAGAACTGCAGAGCCCAGAAACAGGCAGTTGCCTTTTCCAAAACACAAAGAGGCCACCTGTTCTCTTCTCCCTGCCTCCCACAAGGGAGCCCAACTTTCAACAGGGCTGTCATCGTCTCGAGGAACGCAAGGCCAGAAATAATTGGCACTGGGGCCACCCAGAAAAAAAAAATGGATCTAATTCTTGTGTAGCAGGCACGGGCCAGAGTAATTGCCCCCGTGAGCCAGGAGGGTTTTCTGCCTCTCCAGAATCCACCTGTGTGCAGGTGTCATGCCTATGAAGGACACCCACTCACCTTGTCTCCTCAAACTGGGCTGAGCCCCTCTGCACGGACCTATTTTATCTCTTCCCCCTTTTTTTATATTGAGTTAGACTGATACGGTTTGTGCTCCTTGGGAAAAGGACACAAACTGCCCTGGCAAATAGATCTCTATCCCAATTCATCTGAGCGTTTGCCTGAAATGGAAATAAATAAGAATCCAATTGAAAAACCTCTTTAAAAGCTTCCTTACAGTCAATACGTTCCCCATTTCATCAAGGGGTTCCCACCACCCCTGCAGTGATGGGGAACGTGGTGCTGAGCCTCACTTTGCACACGGGTGGGTGGGAGAGATCACTGTGTACCTCTACAACTGTCATCGCAACCCTGCAACATGCTTCGTCAAGCGTGGAATTCTTTGGGCTGCAAAAAAAGTGCAAAGAAATTCATTTCTTAATATTTTCAGCAAGAAAAAATTAATTTAGCCCAACCAAATCAGTCTACAGGCAAAAGCTGAACCTTAATGACTACGAAGGGAACGGTGGAAATGCCAATTCTCAAAACGGAGCAATGCAAAGCTTTTCCCCAGGCATCTCCCAAGGCTGTGGGGCAGACCCCCCCCCTCGATGCTTCCCTCTCGTCGGCCCGGGGGGGGGAGGGAGGTCCTCTGCAGGGAAGGGAGGGGGGACTCTGAAAGAGACCTTGGGGGTTGGGACCATCTCTCAAGCCCCCAATGGCTCTAGCAGGCAAGGCCTAAAACAGCTCCCAAAATGAACAGCAACACTGAAAGAACATGGGAGTGTGCGTGTGTGTGTGCAGCTTGTAATACTGGCTGCTCTCTTAAAAGGTGGCAATGGAAAAGAACACCAGAGATGACACCTCTGGAATTGTCATGCACACGCACACACAGACACATCATTCCTCCTTCCCATTCCGCCAGCTGTATTTCCTTTCCACACACACACACCCTTGGCAGCAACACTGGAGTGGGATGGCAGTCAGGGTGTTGTGACCCACAACACACAGGAGGAATTGCTCAATCCCTTAAACCAGCAGGGGGGGGGGAGATTTGATCAGGGCTACCAATCTCTCCTCTACTTTATGTTGTTCCTCATTCAATCACAGCACAAAGGATTGTATGATGTTGGGAGCGAGCTATGAAATCCTGGCTATCATAATATAAACCTGAGATTATTATTTTTTCTTTAAAAAAACTTTTTTGGCAGTTTTACTGAAAAGTTTTTAACTAACACTCTCTTGTAGGATTCTCAATTAAAATCCCTACATGTCATTATTTATCCCAGACGAGGAAAATAATTTTTCAAACATCCACCAACCAACAAATACTTTAAAAATGATTACATATCAAATTAAATATGATAAATAAAGCATATTTACATTTTTTTTCTAAAAACCAAACTTAATAAATTCAAAGTGTGCAAACTGAAGAACATCCAACATTCAGATGTTAGTCCTTTAAACTTCACGTATTACCAATCTTACAAAAACCTAATATTTAAAAATACGCATTGCATCTATTGAGACGTAAAGAAACTGCAAAAATGTTTTAAGACTAGGAAAAGTTATTACACAGGCACTTCACAGGTAAACAATCTACAGTACAACTGAAAAATATTTTGGCACCAATCTAGAATACTGGGGGGAAAAACAACCACACAATTTCTCCTTAATATTGTGTACTACTCTGTCATCGCCAGCATACACCCAACTAAAATATTGGAAATGATACATTGGTAAGAAGTGCAAGAAATGAAGGATGCAAAACTTCTCAAAACTGGTCAAACTGTTTCTGTGATACTCGTCCAGGTTTTCTACTACACTATAGTGATTTTTTAATTTTGCAAATGTACATGAAAATGACACACGTCGAAACTTTTCATGTAAATGCCATTTTAAGAGCCGCCTTCCTCCGTAAGCTCCAGGAAAGCCCCTAATGCCATCAAATGGGCGGCAACCGGTTGTGATTCCCCGCCGAAAGCTTTTCTCGCAGCTCTGCGCTGGAGCTCCCTTGTTCCATGTGAGCTGTGGGTCCCCCAAGGAGCCTGGATGCAGCCAAAGGCTTCTTAAGAAAGTCTGTCAGAACAGGAGACGGGACAAGTGGCTGAGGGGCAGAACGGGTCCTACTGGAAAGAGGCTCCGACGGCCTCCAAATCTCTTATGGCTCTTGGTAAAAAAAAGAAAATAGGAATTTTTTTTACGCTCCCAGGGAACCGTCAGCTGACATCCTGGTTTCAAGCACCCGGCCCAGGACCCCTGGACAGCCCTGAGGGCGAATGGCTGGGCGGATTCCTCCAGACGGAGCGGAAAGGCTTGGGATGGGTGGCCCAACCCAGGGCACGGCGGCCAGTTCCTCCGGCAGGAGCCCCGTCACAGGCAGGAGAGCTGCGAAGCTTTGGAGGAAGGGATCTCAAGGAGAGCCTGAACCGTCAGTCCAACCTTGACCAGTCCTCTCTCTTCCAAAATGTGATGGGGCAAGCAAAGTCTTTCCTGCAAAAGGAAGAGAGCCAGCCTTCAGGTTCCACTTCAAAAGAAATCAGAAGTCAAGCTAATTAGGAAAAGGGCTTCCTTTACGTGGGCGGTTCAAGGGGCCCAGGCTCCAGAGGAGGACTCAGATGCTTGGCAACTGACTCACATTTACGACGGTCGCCGTGTCCGGGGGGGGGGAATCACGAGATCCCCTTTTGCGACATTCTGACCAGCAAAGCCAATGGGGGAAGCCGGCTTCATTGAACGATCGTGTTACTAACTTAACAATTACAGTGATTCGCTTAATAACTCTGGCAAGAAAGGTTGTAAATTGGGGCAGAACTCACTTAGCAACAGACATTTTGGGAGGTTGTAAGTGGAGGACTGCCAGTATTAGGGAATAACCTCCAACACAACCGACGCCCTTAAGCCCCTCAGCCATTTACCTGCGGCACACCCAGTTTTTTACAAGCATCCAGGAAATTTTCAACATTTCTTCGGCATTTTGCCATACTGAGCTTAGGCTGTCGAGAGGGAGAGAGAGAAAGAGGCAGAACGGTCAAGAGGAACATCCAACCAAGGAGTAGAAGCAGCAAAACATCTCTGCCTACTCCTAAGATTAAAGGAGATTTACTTAAGGCTTGTCTGGAACTCGTCTTGAATTACGCAGACCATACACGCAGCTCACTCACCACGGCTGGTGACGGGACGTGAATGCTGGCCACAGAGCGTGGTCTAATGTGGTTGGCCAGGTGGCAGAGGACCACCCCGTCCATGAGGGCGGCTCCGATGTCCTCGGGCAGGCTGACCTTCAACCGCAACTCCAGATTCTAAAGGGGCAAAGGAGGAGACACACTCAAGATCAAAAGCCACAATTCTCCAGCAGCTTACCCAGGGAAGCCACCAGCAGCCCCAGCATCCATCCTGCTAAAAGCAGGGGTCTCCAAACTTGGCGACTTTAAGGCCTTGTGGACTTCAACGTCAGCGCTGGCTGGGGAATTCTGGGAGCTGAAGTCCACAAGGTCTTGAAATTGCCAAGTTTGGAGACCCCTGTATTAAAGGCACATTACATTGCGCAGTTGCTTAATCTGTTCCCTTTCTTCCCGCAGATGCTCCATTTTCCTTCTCATGGTGAATCCGGGGTCCGACGTGCTGTAGTCTTGACGAGAACGCCCAAACGCTAAAAAGGGAAGTGGACCGTTAAAAACAAACCGGTTGCAGAGAACACCTCGCACACAATGCCTCTGGCCACGCCTCCCTCCATCGCCATCATTTTGGTTCATCTCAAATCCAATAAATTGAAAATGCTTCTAGGCATGACAACTGCACTCATCACAAAAGCATAAGGGGAGGGGAGGGGCATGTGTGTGTGTGTGTGTGTGTGTCAGAAATGAATGTTGCATACAGAGAGCAGGCAGCATTTGTGCAAAGGAACAGAAACAGGCAATCTACCAATACACTCATTCGGCTTGTGTTGAAAGGAACAGCTCTTGTTTGCTGTGGGAGAGAAATTTCCAGCTGGGTGAGATTCATACCAGCCCAACTCCCTTGATCTAGTAATGGCAGTCCCTCGGCGCATCCCTGGGGTCTCAATGCGCAGGCGGGGGGAGCGGAGGCTGCGAAGCAGGGTCTCTGCAACCAAAGGGCTGGCCCTGCAGGGCCCTGGCAGAGCTTCCTAGGGCCACCGTCCTCTTCAAAAGCAACAGGGACCTTCCCCCTTGGGCCTGGCCCCGCTGACTGGCTCAGGGATGCTTTGCCTTCTTCTGCTCTGCCTGTCACTTAAGAGTCCACCCAGGTCTCTCTGTCCCCCAACCCCCGACATCAGCATATTCTAAGCAATCTCTTTTCTAACACACACACAGGCCCAAATTACAGCCCTCACCTGATCGGGGCTTCAGTCCAAAAGGGCCGTGAGAATTCCCATCTGTCCGTTCATAATCCTTGAAAGGAGGGAGAAGCAGAGCTGTCAGATGGCCACGGAGGGCACCCAAGGCATGCAAGCCTCGAGAACCGAGGGGCTTCGGCCTTGGCTGGGAAATCTCTATGCAGAGAAGATGATCCCAGCCTGGAAAAAAAGAGGCTGGATGCCCCCTGCCTTTTGGCCACCGCGTGGAGAGTTCTTGAGGAGGTGCACTGATTGCTTATAAAAGGACAGGCCAGCTCAGTTTCAGGGCCAGGACCACAGAGCTTCTGGGAAGTGGGAGGGGAGGCCTTCTCTAAAAAGGTTCTCCCAAAAGCCCTTTGATAACATGCTTCTTAAAGACGGAAAGCTGTACTTAGAATATAGAATATAGAGTAACACAGCTGGAAGGGACGCTGGAGGTCTTCTAGTCCAAAGCGTTCAGAAACTTTTCTGCTTTTTCTAACATACATTCTGGCCCCTCCGTGATATGTTTCAGATCACTCCTTGAGTGAACTTCTACTCTGCAGGCAACTCCAATTACACTAAAATTGCACATTGCGGTTAAAACGTGACACTTTGTGACACTAACAAAAATATACAGAGACAGACAGACAGACAAACAGACACTTGTACCTCGGATGACACAGGCGACTGTGGAGACACATTAGCATGATCACTGTCTTGCTACAAAAAACAAAACCAAAAAGATGGAAATTATAAGATGAAATGTTTTAAAATGAAACATTTGGTCAGACAAGACATAAATGTGTGCATGTACAAACACATATTTTCCCCAACAGAGACACGCTACTAAACATACGAAGATGCTTGACTGGTCGGGCTGGCAGATGTCCTAACGGTGACCTCTGAATGTGGTCTCCTTACAGGAGGGCAACTCTCTTGGCTTAAGGGATCAGAGCCTCAGGGCCAATGGGATTCCATCTTCAGTTAAAAATCCAAAGGAGTTTCTGCCTTTTAATATAACTGGCTAATCAGAAAAAGCACTATTAGCTTCTCTCTGATTTTCTGCTACCGCAGACTAAGAGGGCTCTTGCACCATCAGCTAAGAAACTTTGCTGGCCCAATACCTACAAAGCTGCTGCATTACAAGTAGCTTCTTTGCTTAAGCCTTTTTTAAAATGTGAGATCAGTTCCCCCCCGATCATCATAAATTTCTCCCAGATTACAGCAGACTATGACTATTTATTAAAGTATGTATAATCTATCCTTCAGCAGATGCCAGGGTGGCAAAGAATTAATAGAAACCAATGTTCAAAACATGGCAGAGCACTATAAAACCAACACATCATTTGAGACCAGTTCCGGGCCAGGCCAAGGGAGATTTGCAAGAGTCTCAATACTCCTGTGAGATTATCAAGCAGCTCTAAGCCACATCCAATTCATGGGCTGTCAATGCAAATTATGCTTAGGCATTACTTCTTCGAGAGGGGAGGAAAACCACTGTGCATGTGAGTATAGGAAGGAGAATTTAAAGAATAATGTTCACAGAATCCTTGATTTCCACGGTTAAGTTTCATTTTCTATTCCACTCCTCACTTACCTCATCATTTTCATTTCCACTGGAACTCTTCCGGGAAGACTTGTACTGAAAAACAGACAGCTTTTATGCCACGTGGTTTGTGAAACCTGTTTGTGTGTTTTTAGTCACTTCTGACTCTCTGCTTCATCCTCAGACCACATTAGCAATCCACCCTGAGACAGAGAAACAGGGCTATCCTGGCATGGGGGCAGTCTCAGGAGGCTCCCTTGGGGGCTTAAAATGCTGGTCAAGAGGCAACGTATAACGCTTAGGCTCAGTAACCAGGATAATAAACTGGATTTGGCTTACCAGAGGAAGAACTGCATGACTGACAAGCTCCCTAGAGAGAAATGTTTATTGGTGCATATTCTCATAATCATCCTAGGTGCATTTCCTTAAGGATAAACTGTACTGCTCTCCAAATAATGTATTCCCTAGAAGGCATCCTTCGTCTACGCTGCTTGCCTATTAAAGCAGGCCTGTATCTCAAGGCTTTGCAGACTCTGCAGAGAACCTGCTGATGCAGAAGGCTTCAGCCAGCCCCCCCCCCCAGCCACTCTCTGGGTGCCCGGGGGCTGCGAGTTTCAGAGTTCTTAGTTAGCTTGGCAGGGCCAAAGAGTCGGCGTTTTCACTACCCCTGTAACGTATTTCTGCAATAAAGCCCCGGCCCTTCTCTGACGCTTTTAAGGAAATTCCTGAGCCAGAGATCAGGGGAATTCTTCCCTGGCTTCCTTTCACCCAGAGCAATTTGCCCAGGGGGCAAACTTAAGAATTCCATGGAGAGACAGATCTGAGGATCAAAGTCAGAACTACAGAACCACCTTGGACAAAAAATGGCTTGGATCGGGGTGTCCAACCCTGATGACTTTAAGACTTGCGGGCTTCAACTCCCAGAATTCCCCAGCCAGCTTGTTGCCCCCCCCCCAGGCATCCTCCCTATGTAATTGTCTTCAGCTCAGTGACAAGGCCAGACCCACAGCAAGGCAGGCTCTTCTGTTTTTCAATGCTCATGTCGAAGCATGCAGCGGTGATACTCAGCCAGGGACAAAGGAACGAAAAAGGCTTCGTGCACAGAGAAAAGGAAGCAGGAGGATTTTCCTGATGGGTTTCCGCTGCTTTCCCTTCCTCCAGGCAGGCAGAACCACATCAGAGGAGAAGCTCTGACGGAGGTCAGTCTGATGGTTCAAGGTAAATACTGCCCTTAAAACACTTTGAGGCGCTTCCTATTTTAGAATAATTGTTGGGAAAGCCACCTTCAAAGCCATCAAGGGTTGGCTTCCGTGGGAAAAAAAAAACGCCAGCTGGATTTTTTAGCCTGTTTCAGTTTCAGTTATCAGGTGTAGCTGAGCTTCCTGTTCAAGGCAGAAAATCTACTTTGCTTTCAAGCACTTTAAAAGGCAGGATGCCGTTCTTTCTGTGACTGGAAACCTTGTATGGACTGAAAATGGGGGAAACAATGTACACTACCTGATTTGTGCGTTTGACTAGAAAGGGTAGATTATGGGAAGAAGGGAGTTGTGAGGTAAACTCAACAGAAAGAAGATAAAATTCAAATGCATTTATTGGAAGCCATTTCTTAAAAAAATTTTTTTTTGTCTTTTTCTTCTTCTATTTCTCTTCTTCCACTTCTCTAGTCTTTTCTCACGATTTTCTTTCTCTTTTAAAAGTTTTTATTCTGTTAATTTCCCCCCCAAGAAAAATAATTACAAACATAAAAGCCGGGCTGCTTTCAGGGGGTTTTGAGACTTTCTAAGGTCGGAAATGGTTTTATTTTCTTAGATGGGTATTAGGCAGAGAAAAAAGGGGGGGCCCACCTTGAAATACTCCCTCCTGATCTGCTTGCTTCGATGCCTCTCTTCATTCGGCCAGATTATCGCCTGCGCATCCGGCCAACGTGGACCGTCCGGGTTGTGGCCTCTCTGATTCTCCAGAGGCTACGGAGAGAAAACAGCCCGTAAGGCTTTGAACCCATGACGTTGATCAGGATCGCCCCCAAATCTCTGATGAAATCAGCAATGCTTTTCCTAAACTAGCCTTCCAGCTCCCCTGCCATCACCAGTCACCGTAGAGTAGGAAAAAGCGCCCATAAATAAAATAAAATTCAGAAGGCAGGAGGGTCACTGATATGTATCTTGTACATCTGGCGCTCAACTCAGCTTCTCTGGTAAACGTGCTGCCCAGATCTCTCACTTCCAGTCACGAACAGGGAAGGCCTTTGCAAAGAGTGAACATGGAATAAAAACACGGGCACAGACGAACCAGCATTTGCACTGAGACTGTTATATAGTTGCCAAGGCTTAATTCCACTCCATTTTATTATTAAATCAAAGTACTTATATACATTCACTGCGTATTTACCGGAAAAACGAGGGACTGACTGACATATTGATACGTAGATTGATGTACCAATTTATTCACTGATAAATATTGATGCAGTTCACGAATTCACTCGCCTATTCAACATTGTACTGAGCAATTGGTTTGGATTAAAAATCCAAAAATGCCATAAACAGCATGAATTTTAAGGAAATCTGTAGGAGTCCCAGTGAAGATCGCGCTTGCTAGGATAGGGCAAATTTTTGTTTTTACTAAGTGGCTGAAGGGAAAACGCATGAATATGTCTAAGAAAGTAAAGCAAATTGTGAATAAGCCCAGAGAAATCTTAGGGTTGCATTTCTTAATCCGACATTATTAAAAATGTCTGAATTTGTCAAGCTTCCCTCACAGCAAGCTGATCCGACTTTGGGGGTAGTTATCAAATGCTCCAGAATGACAGAATGTCACACAATCTGTCACAACTACTGCACTGCACAACAGATGGCGCGAAGGAATCCCACCCAATTATCTGGCACCAGGCGCACTTTCGGCAAGCGAGGCAGCTCATCTGCAGCCGAAGCCATAAAGGGCGATCCAAGGCGGCAGGGAAGAAACGTTTACGATGAACAAGCCAAACCATCACAGCTGCTTACAAGTCTCTGCATTACCTGCCAGCTGCAGGGGGAGGACGGAGAATTTGCTTCGTCTGCGGAAAGGCTGCACGAAAAAATAAAATATAACAAAACACAGAAGTTGTTGGCTTAAAAAAAAAACCCACCTCTTTCTTTCTTTGTTAAATTATGCAGCTGCCCACTCAAAACGTGGAGCTCTTCACGCTGTTTCCTAGCACCAAGGCAGTCATCTTTTAATCTGACATCCAGTACTGCCAATATTTATTTATAGCCAGATAACCTGTGAATTTTAGGACTGATAAAAAAAACTCTAAAGAAAAGCACAAGCAACGTGGGAAACTATAACATTTTAAAACGTTTGCAGTAAGGACCTTTTTTCAGAGGTCCGCATTTCTTGAGACGTAACCCCTGGGTGGGAAATCTTTCTCATTTTCCTCCCTTTCAAGAGCCACAGGGTCTCAGGGTCTCCCCTGGTGTCCTCAGGCCCACTTACTTTGTTCCAGTGAAATCTTATGAAAATAATTTGTGTGAACTCACTGTGTCAAAGGGTTTCTGGAAAGGAGGTGGGGGCTCTGGATTCCCTGCAATAGGACCAGCTTTCAAAGAGTAATGGTGCCCCCTTCGGAGACCTTTTGTTTCGGCCTACCTCTGCAAAATCCTTTCACACATTAGGTTCACACAAACTATTTTAGCCTATTTCTTCCCACCCCGTAAAGCCCCGTACCTTTTTTCTGTGTCCACCGTCTGTTTCGGTCGGTTTCTTGTGCTTGTCGGGGTGGAGTGATTCAGGAGTCTAAAACCAAGAAAGTTGCCCCTGAATGACGTCCAGGCTCAGCTCTTAGTTGATCCTAGTTTGCTTATGCTAGGTTCCTGCAGCCACAGGTGAGGACGCCTCTCCTCCCCTTCTCTCTGGTGAGTCTAAGAAGACCCCGGCTGTCCTGCCAGCCCCTGGTCTGTCTTTCAACCCTGGTCAAGCTGTCCTCTGAGGCTGCAGGGACAGTCCCTGAAGGCATCCACCTGGGAAAGGGACTCGAGAAGGAGCAAAGTCACGAGTGAAGGAGTAGCAAGGAAAGACAGTCTGGAATCAGGAGTGGGACAGGAAAGGCGGAGAGAAAGAAGAAGCAAACAGGAGCTCCCTCGACAAAGGTTGTCCGAACAGAATCCCACCCTACTCAGGGCAGAAGAGCGGCAGCAGGGTGGAGCGTTCTCCAGCTAGGGTTGCCGGACGGGGGGCAGGGGGCTTCCCAGCTGACTAACAGGGTCATTCTTCCCCCGCCAGGAAATGGCCCGGGGTGGTTGACTGACCCCCACGTCTGCACAGGAAGAGTCTCCCTGTCTTTAAATAAGGCCAAGGACTCTCTTACACAAAAATAGCATTAATCAATCCTGGGACAACACTTTAAGGGTCTGGAATTTGGTTTCCAGGTAACAATTCAAGAGGAAAACATTTCCCAATTTGGGTTGCAGGTCCCCTCAAGATCCTTCTCAGAAGTGGGTTTTTTTTTCCTCAAGGTATGGTTTAACAGGGAAATCCCCCAAACAGGGATGTCCACAGGTGTGGTCCCAAAAATCAAGACAGCGACTGTGATAGTGCAACTGAGGCCCCGCCCGAGCAAAGTTTTGATGACCCCACAGGGACTGCCCTTTTGACCATTTCTATGACAGAGGCAGATAAACCCTTGAAATAAACCAACAAGCCTGCCTCTCGGAGCTCTGGGTGCGCCATCACTGGAGGTTTTCAAAAGCAGACTGGAGACCCCTTTGACTGGGTTGGCATAAGGTCTCCTGCCTTGAGCAGGAGTTTGGACTAGAAGACCTCTGAGGTCCCTTCAGCCCTAGGATTCTATGTTCTAAGAGGGCCATCTGGCTTCTTAAGGAAGTTTAGGCCACCCAACTTTGGGGCTTTTAGGCTTTTCTTCAATTTTCCTCCTCAAACGCACCTTCACTGTTACACCAAGTTGTTATCAAGGGTTATTGTGGGCTGCTCTCCCCCCCCCCACGCTCGTGTGACACCCCCAGGCCTCCAGTCCCAAGTACCTTGACGCGCGTCCTGCCACCCTGGTCCTCTGGAAAAGCTTTTCACTGAAGGAAGCTCTATAGCTTAAGGGCCTCCGTCTGAATTCGCATGCCACGTACCCCAAGATGGAGGAAGGAAGCCATGAGGAAGGACAGGAGAGACGTTAGTAAAGTCAGCAGAAGAGAGAAAGAGGAGAGTGTAACTACAGTTAAGCCAAGAGAAGACAAAAAAGCTTTACGGCCAAGCTGGGAAAGAAATCCTTCAAAGAGGCAAGGACGGGGGCCTTTTCAACACGGCAAAAGGCCGCAGGCTTTTCAGGATCAATTTTAGCAACGGTTATAAAGGACCGGGGTATGTATTTTAAAAGGCAGCAGCGGGATTAGCCATAGACTAACTTTTCTCCTTTCAGACCATCCCCTCTCAGCTTGGACCAGACACATTTTTAAGACGCCATACAAGCAGCGGTCAGGGCAGACCCTCACCGGGACCCCCGGCTGCTTCCTGGGTGACCCACAAGCTTCCTACCGGTTCTTCTGCTCCTGCTGCAAAAGCTGAGCTGCAATTTTTCGCAAGTCGGTCACCTCCTTCAGGTCATCATCTTCTTCGGCCAACGCCTTTTCTTTCTGAATGCTAATACATAAATAAATAAATAAACAAACATTCCTGGTTGGATAAGGTCAGGGTTTCCCCGACCTTGGCAACTTTAAGATGTGTGGACTTCAACTCCCAGAATTCTGGCTGAGAGAATTCGAGGTTAGGAAACCCTGATTAGAGACTTCTGCCGAACAGATCCTCTGGGTGAACGGTCCCTAGTAGATCATCCCCAAATCCCACCGGGGTGCTGTCAGGGACCCACCTCTTCTCCTCTCGCCAATCTTCACGCGGCTCACTCTTCTGTGGCTTCTCAGCTGACTTTCCTCGCTCCTTACCCAGCATATTGGAGGTAGAGGAAGGGGGGGGGAAGAGGGTTGCAGAAATCGCTTTAAATAAGTGTTGAACACCTTTAGAATGAGAAAGTCTCTACTACTCATTCCCTTTGTCTATTTTTAAGACGTGGCTACCTTAACGTAAGAGATGGACGACCCAGTCTGAGGATCTCCTTGATCACATGCAGCCACATCCTCTGAGCTGGGATCGAGGTAATCACACACATCGGGGTCTAGGGATTAGGTTAAAAAGGAAAGAGGAGATGTATGTGGTTGGTTTAAATGTATAAAAAGATTTATCTCTAAGGGTCCAAGCAGGTCTTTCTCAACCTTTAAGAGGTGTGGACTTCAACTTCCCAAAAGCACCCGGATGTAGGATTTTACCTTTATGCAACTCAGGTTTGTTCCCCAGCAACTGATTGTCATTTCGGAATGTCTGTTCCCTTGTCGATTCCGACACCTGAGAGTGGAGGCTGACTGTGTCATCATCGGATGGCTGAGGAAACAACAGTTGAGAACATCACAAACACATCGCATTTGTCTTTCTGATGACACACATTACGAAACAATCTTCTGAGGAGGCCTGTGTGAGGCTAGCATCCCAAGCAGAACATCCAATTCAGACATTCATCAATCAGTAAATAGTTGTCACAACACATCCAGAAATGCTTCAGTTGACTCTAGTTTCATGTGCCTAACCAATAAAAAAAAACAGGAAAAAAAATTTTTTTTGCTATCAAATCTGTAACATAAAATTAATGTGACATTTTCCAGCCACTTGCTCACCAGTTGTACTGTGATGCAATTCCTGTGCAAGAGATTTGCGAGAGTTGCAACACACTTGAAACCACCAGATTAGGGGAGCCTGATGTATATGACTTCATTGTGTTTAATGTTAAAGATTTATCAGACAATTAATTATCAGAGAGAGAGAGAGAGAGAGAGAGAGAGAGAGAGAGAGAAAGAGAGAGAGAGAGAGAGAGAGCGCTGACTTACTTCTGTCGTGGATAATCTTTTATCCCCATTATCGCTACCAATTCCAGAGTCTGGGCCGTGGTTTTTATTGGGGTAAAAGTCTTCTATACTGTAACGGAGAAGAACACTGGTTACACACACTAGGAAACTATTTTCAGTTCCCTTATTCTGGTAATAAAAGATTGATTGAAATTTCTAATTCCTCAAAGAACAGCAAAGAATTCCCCAAAGAGAGGAAATTGAGGGGGAAATAAACCTATGCCAAAGGTTCTTTCCTGAAGAGGTGTGCTGATTTTCTTCCCCTTCAGACTAAGGATATAATGCAGCTGGTTGGGCAGCAGATGGCAGACTTCTCCTTCAGTAAACGACGCAATGACGGCCGCAGTTGGCCGAAACCAAGCAGCCTATATGGGCCTGCTCCCATCCACACAGAAGAGAACAGAGATCCCAGGCCCAGCCAGCTCGCTCAGCTCTGCCTCAGCAATGACGCCTGGCAGGCGAGGGGAGAAGAGATGGCAGGCAGGGAAGAGAAGGCTGGAAACACAGTCAGAGGCTGGGCCAGGAAGGGGACACTGATGAAGTGCCTGGCATGACGGGGGACTCAGAACAGACGCAGCGATTACAAACGCTCAGCCTTTACCTTCCGAGAAGGAAAGGTGGCTTTACCTGTCGGTGAGTGGCTGAGAAGGGATCCTTCTTCCCAGGGAAGGGAGATCCAGGGAATCTGGCTTCTTATCCATTCTCAGGCATGCTTGAACACTGAGAAACTTAAAAATGTGCACTTTGCCCTTTAAGCAGATCTATTAAGACACAGACAGGAAAGAAACCAAAACAAAATTTGAGTCAGATAGGTTGACAGAAACCTTTTGGAACTCCTTCGCTGCCTTTGATGTGTCTGACTCTCCCTGTGTTGTGTGTGTGTGTGTGCACGCGCGCGCATGTGTCGAAGGGGGTGGGGAACTGTTAACAGGCTTTGCGTAAATCTCCCCAATCTACTGACCTATTCCTGGAACAGCTGACCAGCCCAACCTGTTCATCAACTTCATGCAGTGAGGTGATGAATTAGGAAACAAGCTCATTTGGCGATTCCAGGGAAAGACCTTCCAGGGCCCCAGAAACAGAGACCGGCCCCTCCCCAGCTACCCCCGAGGGAGCCCTAAGAAGCATCAGGCAGAAAAGGTGCTTCCACCCATTGGTCCTGCACCCTTTCTCCACAGAGCAGAGCAGCTGACTGAAGGCCCCCCGTGTCCCCACTGCACCTCTGAACTGAAGGGGGATTAACAAACCTGGGCCGGCGGGATCTGCATTGGATTATTATCCAGAACGATGACTTGCAAGTGTCGCAATTTCCGGAAGCAGATGGGAATCTCTATGATTTTATTACAAGAGAAGTCCAGCTTGACCAACGGAAGGTCTCCTAATTCTATTAACGACAAAGGAGGAAGAAAGTGGCCTTCAGACACGACAAGACACGCGTCTCAATGAATTCAGAGGAAGCCTGGAAGACGATGGAAAACTGCTTACCATCGGGTAACATATGGAGATTATTTCTTCTTAAGTTTAGTTCTTTTAAGGAGTGCAGTTTTCCTATCTGTTGGGGAAGGACCTGGATCTCATTGCAGCTAATATCCTAAGAAACAGAAAACCAGAATATCCGAAAATTAAACCAGCATTTTCTGACATGAATGGCTTCTTGAAGACAGAAAGACCTGTTTTGCTAGAAAGGGAAGAAGGAGGATTCTCTTAAAACAGATTTTTGCTGCAAAGGAAAATGGTTTCAGAAGGCATCTCTCCAATGTAGCCAGAAATCAAGAGAAGCGAACGTGATCACGCCTTAAGCATGAAGCCAGTAGGATGACTCTGGGCCAGCCATACCTCCTCAGCCCTAAAAAGAAGGCAAGAGCAAACCACTTCAAAACATCTTGCCCAAAACCTGCAGAGACATGTAGGGGAGTTAAGCTAACTCAATGGTATCCCCCTCACACACACACACATACCCCGAAACAAGCCAACAGACACTGACTCAACAGAAGTAAAGACATCAACCAGATGAGATTTATGAACTTGGGGCCACAAGACTGGAAAGCTTGAAGCTTGCCCACTGCTGTTCTAGACAACTCATTTTTTTACAGGGCGCAGCTCAATTTGTGGACAAACAAGAGTGAAGCCAAACGTGTTAAGGGTAACAAAGGACAGAGCAACTGACAGAGCCGCCCTGAGTCCACTAGGAGAAGGGCGGGGTATAAATGCGATTAATAAATAAATAAATAAATAAACTGCACGTACCAATTCCATTAAGTCTTTCAACTTTCCAATTTCTTCAGGAACGGACACAAGCTTATTATTGCTGACAACCAAAACTTTCAGTGGCAGATCAAATAGGTATTTTGGCAACGTAGATAGGAGATTTCGGCTGGGGAGAAATGAAGACATTGAGGGTTAATATCCAGCAGCTATGAATTGTTCATGTTTGAGAGATGCAGAAGCCATTAAAGCCACTCTATGCTCCATTTTAAAATGACTCACTGTTTAGCTCTTCCGTCACAAGCCCTGCTGGTAGAGCACAATACATAAACGGCCCTCCCAGCAATGCATTCCATCTCATGTGCATACATGGAAGCAAAATACTCAACCTCTACAAAAACTTAAATCAGGGGTTTACAGATCTTTGCAAACTCTTCCCACGCTTTCTTCTCTCCTCCATGCACAATTTCTGCTGAGCTGAGGGGCAGCTTCACTTTTCTCTGATCCTTTTTTCCTGCTTTAGTTTTTCCTCCTCTGGTGCTCATTTATTGTCTTTGCCCTGCTCTTGAGATGTACATAACTTGAGATGAGCCCATGCATTTCACTTTCTGCACCTCCTTTATACCCACATGGGAAAGCAGGGATTGTGCATACTCTAACCAAAAATAAAACACGGTGGATCTCAAAGCAGCCGCCATAAAATGGAGCAACATTCCTTTCACTAAGAAAAAAAGTTCTCTAGTTCTATGGTCAACTCAGATGCTTTCCCACCAGAAGGCAAGATTAGTAGTCTTCTTTTCAGCATTCATTGAACTCCCAGAAACCGAAACTGAAATATAAAGTGATTACATTTGCATCTCGAACATATTGTGAAAGAGAAATATCAGGAAGCAAGCTAGACTCCTTCACACACGGTTATCTTTTGGCAATCTCTAGGCTGCATGTAGCACAGAGCAGCAAATGTTTTTGCAGTCATCTGGAGCAAGAAGGCTCTCTGAGGTGAAACCACAAGAAGACAAATGCACCTACCTGATATTGAGATATGTTAACATCTGTAGGTTTTTAATGGCTTCCGGGATAGATTTGATGCAATTGTGATACAAGTTCAATGTCTCCAGCGGTGCAAACTGCCACACATCTGGAGGGATTTCAGTAAATCTGTTCCTGGAAAGATCTAAAAAGGGAGAGGAGGAGGAGAAGGTATTTTCAAGGCTCATCCTGAATGAGAAGAAGCTACCCAACTGGTAATCTGCAGTTGCACAATTCTACGGTTGGAATCAGAGGCTATAAAGTGGAAAGGGTTACTTTCTGCTAGGATGCCGAACCCAACACACAGGTAGAGCTGGAAGCTTACCAGGACCTGCCCTTCTAGGAGGAGAAGACAAGAATTCACTACTGTCCACTCTTTGCCCCAACAACCCATTTCCCCTCCAGTAGAAGCTGGCTCCTTCTGACCAGCAAAGGCCATCTCGGTCCTTCAATCTTCCATCAAACTGAAGGGAGCCCAACCACTTTGTTTGGCCTCCCCATTTCTGCCTAGCCTCATCAGCCTCCTCCAGGTGAGTCAGGGACCTATTATCGGGGGGGGGGGGTGTTACAAAACCTTCTGAACGCTGTGTGTGCACACGGATGGCACAGAACAGACAATATTAGGGAAATCTGCTGCTGCTGCTGTTCTGCAACACCCTTTCCCAGCAATCTGGAGTCCCATAAAGCCGTCTGTGAAATAGCTAAATTGTCGGCCTGCTAAGCCTCTCCAAACAAAGGTAAGGAGCCGGAGCCAGGACCTGAGCCCCGATGAATGCAAGCACCACAGAGACACAAGACGCCGCGCAGGCCATCTTTGCCTTCATCCCTTTGTGTCCTTTGTTGTCACATGCGCAGCCAGCACAGAAAGCTGATTAATTCTTCCCAAAGTCACCGCTTCCCCTTCCTTGTCTGCAGACCACGGCAAAGACTTCATTCTGCCAGAAAAAAAGGGATGCTACTTCCCTGTTTCACCTGCCAAGAATCGGGGCCTTGCATGGACTTAGAAATCTCACTCACACACACAAAAATTATGCAATAAAAATACCGTTTACTAACCCTCCTATTGAAATACTATCAAATTTAATAAGCTTGAGATATTTAGATGGAAAAGATTTATTGGCCACACTTGACTCTAGCTGCTCTAGTTAGAATAAACACTTGCTAAGAATGGCCAAAAACAATGCTTTGACTACATTAATATCAAACCTAAGTATTTTAAAATTCTACATAGAATAAGGAGGCCTCCAATGGCACCAGGAAGCCTCTCCTTGACAGAGCACATTTAGCAGCAGACTGAATGCCCCCCCCCCTTTGAAAGACTAGGATAATCTCTGCTTAGAGTCTTTGAATGCTGGCAGTTTCATGGGGAGGGGAGGGCAACTTTGGGGACCTGGCGCAGCTCCAGTGGGACACAACCATTGCTGTGTGGCCAAGTTGCTTCCTTCTACTGTTGGGTTCCTCCCTTCTCTGGGGAAAGGGGGGATGTATCTATTTGACTGCATGCAACTGTTCTGGGTATCCTTGAGCGCCTAGGGAAAAAAATTGGAAGAAGAGGGCAACCTAGCTGCAGAAAAAGGGTTGCTAAGGGAGCTTCACCCACCTAATCAAACCTTCATAGTTTATGCAGACTAAGAGGCAGAAGCCCTAAACTAACATAACAATCTGCATTTCCCACTTGGCTTGAAGGAAATCTCTGAGACTTCTTCAGGAATTGCAGGGCTGGGTCTCCCTGCTGGACTTCCCACAATTCTCAAAGGTATTGCTGGTTAGAAGTAGAAGGGCCTAGAAAAAATATTCCTCAATTCTTGAAATTTTGCATATTATTGTCACCGAGGTATGAGCTAGGGATCAGGGGAACAAAAATCTAGATTTGAGTAGATTCCAAGAACAAATGCCTTGAGTATCTTGTTGCTGCTATCAAAAGATCAACCTGATCTTTCACTCCAAATCTACCAACTCTATAAAAACCTTCAGCACACAATAAACTTTGCATTTGTCACTAGAGAGACAGCCTTGCAGCTTCCGCATATCTGAATACATCTTCGTCAGCGCTCCAGCCTAATTAGCTTGATCGGGTTTTCATTCAACCAATTATGTTCAGATTTATTCCTCTGCATGGTGCCAAACCTATGAGCCACCAGGATCAGAATCAGAAATCCGTTTAATCTTAGTACTCATGAAGCGATGAACAAAAAGAAATAAAAATAAACCACCAGCAATAATATAATTAGGTGCAAACGTTTAATGGGGAGGATTTTGCACACTTATAGCACAATCCCACGTGCATGTAAATTCAGGAGAAAGTCACATGGATTCAAATTGCAAATCACATGCAAATTTGTTGGGAGATTCTACTTAATATGATCAGGCTTAGTTCTGAAAAATAATATGCACATTACTGAAGTTAATTAGGAAAGTCTCGGCTTGCTTTGCACTGCAACACGGGCATTCCACACACAGCAATTTCTGCAGTCCAAGCTCGGAGCACTGGTGACACTGGCATTGTCTTTGTGAATCAGCTGAATAAAAGCTACCTGGTGGGAAACAGCCAGAATAGATTAGGGTTAGGCAGGATGAGAGAGAATAGAACAGAGTTGGAAGGGACCTTGGAGGTCTTCTAGACCAGAGAAGCCCGCTGTGGGAAGAAAGCACAATTCTGCGCTTTCCCAAATCACCGGCGCGTTTTCTTTTGGCTCAGGCCTTAACGCGGAGACTGGGAACACAGCGGACAAGCACCAATGGTCAGTTTCAGCGTTTTTATGTACGGCTACTTAAAAGCAACATTTTGGTAAAGAGTCCAGCACAGTCTTCTTCGAAGACAAAAATATCCCACCAATCTCTCTATAAAAGGCTGAATTTGTCCACCCTGAGTACAATGGCAGATGTCATGTCCCAAATCTGACATTTTAATTACAGAGAATAATTATTGTTCCGAATGCAGATAATGCTGGAAAGCTTCTGGGGTGTGAAAGGAGCTTAAGCAGCTAAATTACAGCTCAGTGCATTAAGTTCAAGGTTGCTTCTTTCTGTTGGAGGAAACTGAATTCAAGCTGGATTTTCCCTATGGTTCAACTGAAGTCTAGCACTTTCATTTAGCACAAAGGGGATGGAGGAAGAGAAACATTTTTAATCCATATCCAGAGGAGAAGCTATGTTAAGTCTGAGAAAAAACAGAGAGTCTTGAGGCACGGCAGGAATCTTATGCCATAAAACATTTTCAGCCTTTAAAACTCCACTACTTTTTAATATATGTATATCCACCATGCTCAGCTGTGAAGCTGAATGTATATATATTAATTCATTTACAAGGAGGAATATCTTTCCTGGTGGCTAAGGTTTAAAGCCAGGATTTGTTTTGGGCATGTGTAGACCAGGAACCCCAGGACAAACTCTAAGAAAACCTAAAGAGAAAGGTCTGGTTCTCTACTGTAAAAAGAAGCAGGTGAGGGAAGGCGTACCAAGGCTTCTTTGCTCTATCATCCTGAGCTACAATCTCGGCTTACTGTGATCTCTGAAAAAGCTTGAAGGATTATGCAAAAGGTGGATAGAATAGGCGGACAGCAAGCAGAGATTAGGGCCCAAAGTCTACCTAGCAGAATTATTTAGGAAATTGCATCTGTTGCCCTGAACTGATATTCTGGAAATGGGACCTTCTTAAATCTCCAGGGCACCTTGCAGTCTTTTTGCCAACATCACCTATGCCATCTTTTGGACCTCCCTTGGACCAATCCAGGAGAGGCACTCTTCTGCAGCAAGCCAGCCTTCTCGCTTTAAGCCATGGACTTCCACCCTCCATCCCCAATGATCTATGTTGCTGACATGCACACTGTCTGAGCTGAGGTGCTGTTATAGTTTTTCTCAGCAAGCCTTGCATGCCATTAAAGATCACATTTCCAATTTTGGACCCGATTGCCTTGAATCATGGCACAAGACATTTCTTTAATGTTCTCTTTTTAATAAAGGAGAACATTTGTAGTTCAGGGTTGAAATGAGGGGTCCTTGATGCTCTCTGGGCTGGGCTTTCTTGCAGACGTTTCATTACCCAAACTAGGTAACACCATCAGTGCTAGTCGCTGCGATGATGCTAGCTAGTTTGGGTAATGAAACGTCTGCAAGGAAACAGCCCAGCTCAGAGAGCACCAAGGACCCCTCGCTGTTCTCCTGCCAATCTTTGGGGAGATTCTTTACAAAATTGACATTTCGACAGCCACCCAAGTGTCCCTGGTCCAGATAGCAAAGGCAACATGTATGAAGACTGATTTGACCAACTGGAGTACTTCACCCCCTGCACAAAGGAAGAACACGTCGGGACGCCCAGCCAGGCCACTGCCCTAGAAGGCTCAGGGAGGAGATCTGTTTGGGAGCTACTCGCCTGGCGCAGCACTCGGCATTCCTCCCACGGAAAAGCAAACGAAAAACCTCCTCCCAGAGTTTTATATCCAAACCAGGCAGCTACATCATTCAACTCTAGCTCACCATCCCAGCCAGTCTCTAACCGCCGGCAGGGCCTCTACTTTGCTCTCTGGGCCTCGAGGGAAAAACTGCCTGCAACTTTTAATTTCGCCTCTCTGTAATTATCAGCCTTACAAGTCCTCTTAAAAGAAGGAGCCTCCAGGAAGCCACATTCTATTCCTGTAGAACAAACGAACGCATGGGAAAGGAGCCTCCCTGGGACAATAAATCTGCCGGCACAATAACTGGCAGCTCTGGCTTTTGCATTCCACTGGATAACGGTCTTTAAGATTTTGTTTAAAAAAATGCATCCCAGCAATGTCTTGGATGGGTTCATGGAGAGATACTCCAGGTGAGCCCTCCTCAGCATTTATTACTAGGAGACGTATACGCCACCTTTCCATCTGGCAGAAGTCTCAAGGGGAGCAAAACAGCAGAACTGAGTAAACTTTTAAAAGAGACACTTTAGCAATAAAGTCAGACGGCCCTGCCAAAGATGTCATCTTTGCTGGCAGTTTTTCCTGAGAGGAAGTTAAGATTACAAGTGAAACAGACTGGAGAACCAAGGAATCTCCATAGACATAAACCAAGGAAGTACATTTCAAAGCTTGGCAACAGAACGGAAATCCACGATGTGTCATCCAAGCTTCTCTGCTTAGTATTAATGATGTCTAAGATTTACAGATGAAAGAATTTTGAAAATGGAAGCAAGGCCTGACAAGACATGGTTTTAGATCAGATCTGATTCAGGGTAGCTAAGGGGGTCCAACTTGACTCAAGACCAGACAGAGGCTGCAATTGCTGAGCCCGAAGATGTCAATGCTCTTAACCAGTAAGCAAATTTACCAGCAATTATGCAAACCATAATCTAATTCAGTGTCTCTCAACCTTGACCATTTCAAGATGTCTGGACTTCAACTCCCAGAATTCCCCAGACAACCATGAATTCTGGGAGTTGAAGTCCAAATAGCTTAAAGTTGCCAAGGTTGAGAAATCTAAATTTTCATCTGACATGCTCATGTTTTCAGAGCAAAAATTTTCTGATGCTAAACAGAGGAGCAAATTAGGACTCGACAGAAACCACCAGAGCACCGAGCTCTACTTTGCAAAATCACCTTTGAGGAACAGAAAAACAAAAGGATAGCTTGAATGCAATTCACATTTCTGAAGGCTAGCCAGAGCCAACTTATATCAAACTATAACAAAGTGGTTTTGACTATTAAAAGCCGGCGTGCAGGTTTGTGTAGCCTCTGCTCCTCCACCTCCATCATTCAGTTCCAAAATACACTTTCCCAGTTGCTCTGTTGCAATCCCCAGCAGTCAGTCAATCTGTGCCCAGCCATAATATCCGTCTGTATTAGAGGCAATTGCTGCTGACCGGAGCCTCCTCCATCTGCAGCGACTCCATCTTCAGCACTTACCCACTCTAGTGACCCAGCCTGCTGCGCCCCCTCCCACAATGCCTCCCCTCCCCTCCCCCCCAAGGGCTTCTACCTGCCCCCCACCAGCAGCCCCCTTGGCGTCATTTGCCACCTCCTGCCCATAAGCCGCAGCTCTCCTCCCTCGCACCGGCCAGCAGAGTGAAATGGCTGCCCAGTTCAAGAGCGCAGGGACACAGGCAGGCAGGCAGGCAGGGGATGATGGGACCTGAACGGCGAGCCCCATGGGTGTTGGTGGAGAATTAGGCAGCAGAGGGGACGATGGGCCTGGGGCAGCCCAGGAAGGGTGGCTGGGGATGATGGGGCCTGCAGAGCGGGGCATGGGGGGGGGGGAAGAGCGGGGATGTGCAGGACGCGGGGGGGTCAGTGGGCGGGGATGATGGGACCCAGACTGGGGCTGACAGGTCCGGGTGCAGGCAGGGTGATGGGTCCCGGGGAACCTCGGGCGGCCGCGCACCATGGGCCCGCGCTCACCGGCCTGCGTGGTGTCGCTGAGGTCGTAGGCGGCGGCGGCCGAGAACTCGCGCAGCTTCCTCCCGCTGAGGCAGAGCAGGCCGGAGCTGCCCGCCTCCTCCAGCGTCTTCTCCAGGCTGCGGCCCGGCGAGGGGGCGGCGGCGGAGGAGGCGGCGGCGGGCCCGGTGGAGAGCCCCCCGCCGCCCGCGCCCGCGCCCCAGGCCGGGAAGGGC